CAAGGACCCCTGGCACACTGAGTTAATGCTGTCCTTGGGCTACATGTCAGGGAAATTCTGGACTCATTAATGGGCTACCGGACACGTCAGCTGGACATCATTTTGAGACTAATCATTCAGAGATTAAAGAGAAAGGAATATTTTCAGTGTGGACACTATGAGTTTTTAAAGAGAACAGTAGGCAAGAAAGTACCAAAAAAAAAAAAAAGAAAATAAAATAAAAAATCTACACTTAGCATATTGTATTCAAACTGTAGAAAAATAAAAAACAAAATACTGAAGGATACTGAAGGAAGCTGGGGTTAGGGATGAAATGGACACCTTACATGAAGAGAGACAAGAATGGAAATTACATCAGACTTTTTTTCAGCAACCATGCAAGCAAGTAAGGAAAAGAGACCCACCTACATAGAATTCCTCATCCAGTGAAATTATCCTTCAAACATGAAGGAGAAATAAACATTTTTCCAGACAAAATTGAGAGGATTTATTGCCATTAGATTTGCCTTAACTATTAAAAGAAGTTAAAATGTTAAAAGTTGTTCTTTAGAGAGAAGCAAAATGATATAGGTCAAATACTTGAATCTGAAAAATTCAAGGATGAGTTTTAGAGAAGGAAGATATGAAGTGGCTTCTGGTTCCTTCCCCTCAGGTCCTGGCACCTGGCACCGTGCCTAGCACCTACACCCCCCATTGATGCTGAATGATATGGATGTGGAATGTAATGACTTGGTGGCTTAAAAAACAAATACAGTTTGTTGTTGTTGTTGTTGTTGTTTTGAGACAGTCTCACTCTGTCACCCAGACTCGGCTCACTGCAACCTCCACCTCCCAGGTTCAAGTGATCCTCCTGCCTCAGCCTCCCGAGTAGCTGGGACTACAGGAGTGCATCACCATGCCTGGCTAGTTTTTGCACTTTTAGTAGAGACGGGATTTCGCCATGTTGGCCAGACTGGTCTCTAACTCCTGACCTCAAGTGATCTGCCTGTCTTGGCCTCACAACGTGTTGGGATTACAGGCATGAGCCACCGTGCCCAGGCTTAATTTTTTTTTTTTTTTTTTTTGAGATGGAGTCTCATGATGTTACCTAGGCTGGTCTTGAACTCCTGGGCTCAGGTGGTCCTTCTGCCTCAGCCTCCTAAGTAGCTGGGACTACAGGTGTGCACCACTGTGCCTGGCTGAAAAAGACTTACTTTCTTGACCTACAGTTGCAACTTCTACATTTAAAGATACCCCAATGGACATAGCAAGTTCCCTGGCTCATGGAAAAGAGGAATTTATTCCAGAGACTTGGCAAAACTCTAAATAAGAAATGAAAATGTGTCTTACCCTCAGCTCTATAGATGTTAATAGTTACCTTATTGTGTCTTATGCAACAGAACATTTTCTTATGTGATGCAAGTTGTGGCATCATTTTGAGACTAATCATTCAGAGATTAAAGAGAAAGGAATATTTTCAGTGTGGACACTATGAGTTTTTAAAAGTCAAAATTACAGATTTTCAGACTGGAGGGAAGCATTCTATGGATTTAATTTGCCACATTGAAAAGTATTGATCACTTTCACCTGTGTGAACAGAAAGCCCTTTGAAGTCCTCCTCCCTGCCTTTTTTTTTTTTTTTTAATTAAAAAAAAAGTTCTTCAGACCAAAAATGAGAAAACCACAGTGGATTATCCTCAGCTGTGATTGGTCCACTTCTTGCTATGACCTCAGTAGGAGTCATTATTGTAAAATGCCAAGCACCTGTTTTAGTCCCTGGCTCTGCCTAAGTTTTTGGCCCAAGGCAGAATCCAACAGATAGTACTGCCCCCAGACGGGGATCCTGCACAGGGACTTACAGCCAAAGAACCTGCTTGTGTGGACGCTGAACCGAACTTCACGTTTGCAGACTTTGGCTTTAGCAACGAGCTCACCTTTGGCAACAGGGTAGATAACTTCTGTGTCAGTGCTTCTTACACTGTCCTGAAACTCTTGTAGGCAACATACGCAGAAGTACGATGGCTCTGCGGTGGATGGGGCGGCCTGGGAGTCACTCTCTATGCAGTGGTCGGTGGTCATCAGGTTTCTGTCTTACACTGGACAGAACTATTGCAGAGCTTCCAAAGCAGGTATATACCACATTCCCTTTACATGTCTGTGGAATATGAACACCTAAAGAAATTCCTGCTCCCAAACCCCAGTAAGAGAGGCACTTCAGAGGAAATCATGAGGGACCCACAGATAAATGTGGGCTATGAAGAGGAACTGAAACTACGTCCAGCCACTCCCTGACTCCAAGGACCCCTGGCACACTGAGTTAATGCTGTCCTTGGGCTACATGTCAGGGAAATTCTGGACTCATTAATGGGCTACCGGACACGTCAGCTGGAGGGCCACACCATCACTGTGAAGTCCTTTCCTTAGCCAATCCCACCAGCTGTTGCAGTCCTCCATCCTTCCGGGTAGAGCCTAGGGTCTCTCCAGCCCAAAGCAGCGAGCCTGCTCTTCCCACATTTTCTTTTTCCTGTAACAGAAAGTCAGTGGCTTGAGGAGGATCAGGAGTCAGGCTGAAAGACCAGCAGAACTGTCAAAGTGCCTGCCAGTCCTCTGCCTCCCCTTGAGATGAAGACTGGCCCAGCACAGCCTCCAGCATGACCTTGTGGCCTCCCCCTCCACCCACAGCACTAGCAGCAGTGGTGGAACCCCAGACAGAATCAGCTGTTCCTAGGGTGTATCCTCCAAAGGAGACTCCCTTCATACTGGGCAGCTTTGGTTAGGACCAGCAGAATTTGCCAGAAAGTATAACCTCAGCCATTGCCTCTAGGAACGTTCAGGGCTGGCAGGGGACCACAGGAGGTTCCTTATCTTCCTCCACAGACACCTGTGTTTCAGGTTGGCTGGAAAGATCTGGCATGTAGCTGGAATGTGGGGAGTTCAAGCTGTGCTTGCTGCATTTCACATGGAGCAGGAAGAATCTGAGCTCCATGGAGTCCAAGGACATGGTGTGGGAGATCAGCCAGGTGCGGGAGATCAGCCAGGTGCGGGAGATCAGCCAGGTGTGGGAGATCAGCCAGGTGTGGGATGCAGACAGGTGCAGGAGATCAGCCAGGTGCGGGAGATCAGCCAGGTGCGAGAGATCAGCCAGGTGCGGGAGATCAGCCAGGTGCGGGAGATCAGCCAGGTGCGAGATGCAGACAGGTGTGGGAGATCAGCCAGGTGCGAGATGCAGACAGGTGCGGGAGATCAGCCAGGTGCGAGATGCAGACAGGTGCGGGAGATCAGCCAGGTGTGGGAGATCAGCCAGGTGCGGGATGCAGACAGGTGCGGGATGCAGACAGGTGCGGGAGATCAGCCAGGTGCGGGATGCAGACAGGTGTGGGATGCAGACAGGTGCGGGATGCAGACAGGTGCGGGAGATCAGCCAGGTGCGGGATGCAGACAGGTGTGGGAGATCAGCCAGGTGCGAGAGATCAGCCAGGTGCAGGAGATCAGCCAGGTGCGGGAGATCAGACAGGTGTAGATCAGCCAGGTGCGGGATGCAAACAGGTGTGGGAGATCAGCCAGGTGCGGGATGCAGACAGGTGCGGGAGATCAGACAGGTGTGGGAGATCAGCCAGGTGCGGGATGCAGACAGGTGCGGGAGATCAGCCAGGTGCGGGATGCAGACAGGTGTGGGAGATCAGCCAGGTGCGGGATGCAGACAGGTGTGGGAGATCAGCCAGGTGCGAGAGATCAGCCAGGTGCGAGAGATCAGCCAGGTGCAGGAGATCAGCCAGGTGCGGGAGATCAGATAGGTGTGGGAGATCAGCCAGGTGCGGGATGCAAACAGGTGTGGGAGATCAGCCAGGTGCGGGATGCAGACAGGTGCGGGAGATCAGACAGGTGTGCGGGATGCAAACAGGTGTGGGAGATCAGACAGGTGTGGGAGATCAGCCAGGTGCGGGAGATCAGACAGGTGTGGGAGATCAGACAGGTGCGGGATGCAGACAGGTGCGGGATGCAGACAGTTGTAGGTGGTAACACTTGTCCTTGAGGAGCAGACATACCAATTAGAGGTTCATTCCTAAGCATTTATTCAGCCCCTTCATGTGCCTCGCACCACGTAGGTAATAAAGAAATAGTCAGCTCTCCATATCCATGGGTTCTGCATGGACAGATTCAACCAACCACAGATGGAAAATATTCAGGAAAAACAATGCAGCAATAAAAAATAAAAACAGTACAGTTTGATAACAGTTTACATTGTATTATGTATTATAAGTAATCTAGAGATGATTAGTAATCTAGAGTATGCTGGTGGATGCGCATGGGTTATATGCAAATACTGTGCAATTTTATGTAGGGAACCTGAGAATCCCCAGATTTTGGTAACCACAGAATGTCCCAGGACCGATTACTCGTAGATCCCAAGAGACCACTCTTATCTCTACTTTTACTGGTTGAATGGTAGAGATTAGTATAGAGGGGGTGCGATTAATCCAGCCTGGGGCTGAGGGAGGTTAGGTTGGTGGGGAGTGAGGTGAGGGAAGGTGTAGCTTCCTACAGAAAGTGATGACTGAATGAGTGGATGGTGGAAGTTAGTTGGCTAAGGAGCAGGTGGGATAGGTGTTGAGAGACCCGATGCTGAGGATGACAGCAGAATTCAGATTTCAGCAGTGAGCACAGGGCTCTGCAGGCAATGAGAAGAGCACTTCTTTCACCTGAAAAGGTAGGGCAGAGGAATTAAGTTCTGGAATGCTGGAGGCCAACAGAGGGAGAAATCATGCGTCACCCAGAAAAGAGCGTGGGAAACAATGAGGGGACTGTAGGGGAGACATGATGGAGGCACAGCATGGCTGAGTCTCTTCCTGGGAATGACTTAAAGCATTAATGCCTGAAAATTTCCAAAATTATAATAGACAGCTATCCATAGATCCTGGGAGCTCAGAGAACATGGAGCAAGACAAATACCAAAAATCTATACTCAAACATATCCTATTCCAATTGCAGAAAATTAAAAACCAATAGAAACTCTTGAAAGAAGCAACTCACTATAGGGGAGCACAGATAAGAGTCATATGAGATGTCTCTTCAGAAACCATGCAAGGAAGAATAGAGTGAAGTGAAATAAAGTGCTGAAAGAAAAAAACCCTGTGTATTAGGGCTTTCCAGAGAAACAGAATCAACAGGATACAGATGGATGGATGGATGGATGGATGGATGGATGGGAGGGAATTTATTAGGGGAACTGTCTTACATGACTGTGGAGGCTGAGAAGTCCCATGACAGGTGTTGGCAAGCCTAAGTTTGAAGGCCTCAGAACCAGGGGAGCCTACAGTGTGTCTGTCAGTGTGAGGCCAAAGGCCTCAGAACCTGGGGGGTGGGGGGGTCACTGGTATAAGCCTGGGAATCCAAAGCTCAGAAGACCGTGGCATTCTGGTGATTCAAGAGCAGGAAAAGATGGGTGTCCCAGTTCCAGAAAAGAGAGAATTTGCCTTTTCTCTGCCTTTTCGATCAAGACCCTCAACCGGCTTTGGGGTGCCTGCTCACAATGGGTGAGAACAGAGCTTTCTTACTCAGTCCACTGATTGAAATGCCAGTTACTTCCCCAAACACCCTCACAGACACACCGAGAAATAATGCTTTACCAGCTCAGCTGTCTGGGTACATCTTCTTCCAGTCATCACACTTATCACCATCAAATTCTGTATACAAATGAAATTATCCTTCAGAAGCAAATGAGAAATACTTCTCAGATAAACAAAAGTTGAGCAACTTTGTTACCAGTAAACCGTCCTTGTAAGAAACACTAAAAGATATTCATCAAAAAACAACAAAACGATAATGATGTAGATTAGAAACTCAGATCTACACAAAGAAAGGAGGAGCATTGTAGATGAATGAAGGTAAAATAGTTTTTCTTAATTGATCTGACAGACAACAGTTCTGAAGAATAACAGCAACAAAACGTATGGTGATTATAGCTTATAGATAATTAAAATGAATGACACCAGTGTTGTAAGGGATGAGAAGAAGAAAGTGGGAATACTGTTACAAGGTACTTCCACTATCCATGAATGGGGAAAGTGTTATTTGAGAGTGAACTTGGTGTAGTTATAAATGCATATTGCAAACTCTAAGATAGCCACTGAAAAAATGTTTGTTTGTTTGTTTGTTTGTTTGTTTTTAACATAATTGCTATGCTAAGAGAAGAGGGAAAATGGGACTTTTAAGGCAGTGAAAGTATTTGGTATGATACTGTAATATTGGATACATGCAATTATAAGTTACACATTTGTCAAAACTCATAAAATGTACAACACAAAGAGCCCCAGTGTGAACTGTAGAACTTAGTTAATGGTGCATCAGTATTGGCTCATCAGTTATATAACAGCGGCCACACTAATGCAAGATGTTAATAACAGAGGAAGCAGGAGGGACTGGTAGCAAAGGGGTAGATGGAAACTCTAATTTCAATTTAATTTTTCTGTAAACTTAATAAAACTGCTCAGAAAAAAAAGTTGTAAAGTGCCAAAACAAAACAGCAAAGCACCAAGTTTCCCAATTCTAAATAATAATTTAATAGACCTAAATTTTCTGGAAGTGATGCTGAACAGTTTTTGAAGTTCCTGTTGTAAACATAAGTAACATTTGAATCATTTGCTCAGTTTTGCATCAGTATGACTCCCATGGTGAAGATGGCTTTACGTATTTTCCAGTGGCTTTGACTTTTCCTCCTAGTTTCTGATATATTCCAGTCAATATGAGGAAAATACCAGTGCTGGAAACAAGAGAAGTGTCTTCTACATCTGAAAATTAAGGAGTTACAGCTGAAAATGTTTCATGTGAGAATGTTATTGGGAGAAAGAATGCTGACTTACCATCACCGAGTGTACCGAATTGGCACACTCTTTTTGTGAAGGGCAATGTAGTATTTTTTGGCCATGAGGTCTCAGTTGCTATTGCTCAGGTGTACTCTTTGAGTGAGAAAGCAGCCTTAATGACATGGAATCAAATGAATGTGGCTGTGTTCTGATAAAACTTTATTCACAAGAATAGGTAGCAGACTAGATTTCTCTTGATGACTATAATTTCTTGACTCTTATTTTTATTTGTATTTTCTGTAAGTTATTGGGATATAGGTAGTATTTGGTTACATGAGTAAGTTCTCTAGTGGTGATTTGTGAGATTTTGGTGCACCCATCACCCAAGCAGTATACACTGCACCATATCCTGTAGTCTTTTATCCCTCACCTCCCTCCCCTTCTTCCCCCCAAGTACCCAAAGTCCATTGTATCATTCTTATGCCTTTGCATCCTCATAGCTTAGATCCCACATATCAGTGAGAACATACAATGTTTGGTTTTCCATCCCTGATTTACTTCTCTTAGAATAATAGTCTCCAATCTCATCCACATCACTGCAAATGCTGTTAATTCATTCCTTTTTATGGCTTCATAGTATTCCATCGTATATACATACCACAGTTTCTTTATCAACTCATTAATTGATGGGCATTTGGGTTTTCCACGATTTTGCAATTGTGAATTGTGCTGTTATAAACGTGTGTGCAGGTATCTTTTTTGAGTATTGAGTTATTTTGCTGTGGGTGGATCCCCAGTAGTGGGATTGCTCAATCAAGTGGTAGTTCTGCTTTTAGTTCTTTAAGGAATCTCCACACTGTTTTCCAGAGCAGCTGTACTAGTTTACATTCCCACCGGCAGTGTAGAAGTGTTCCCTGTTCACCGCATCCGGACCAACATCTACTGTGTTTTGATTCTTTGATTTTTTGATTATGGCCATTCTTGTAGGAGTAAGATGGTATCGCATTGTGGTTTTGATTTGCATTTCCCTGATCATTAGTGATGTCGAGCATTTTTTCATACGTGTGTTGGCCATTTGTATATCTTCTTTTGAGAGTTGTTTATTCATGTCCTTAGCCCACTTTTTGATGGGAGTGGTTTTTTTTCTTACTGATTTGTTTGAGTTCACTGTAGATTCTGGATATTAGTCCTTTGTCAGATGTACAGATTGTGAAGATGTTTTCCCACTCTGTGGGTTGTCTGTTTACTCTGCTGTTTCTTTTGCCACGCAAAAGCTCTTTAGTTTAATTAGGCCCCAGCAATTTACCTTTGTTTTTACTGTCTTTGCTTTTGGATTCTTGGTCATGAAATCCTTGTCTAAGCCAATGTCTAGAAGGGGTTTTCCAACATTATCTTCTAGAATTTTTATGGTTTCAGGTCTTAGGTGTAAGTCCTTAACCCACCTTGAGTTGACTTTTTTATAAGGTGAGAGATGAGGATCCAGTTTCATTCTCCTACATGTGGCTAACCAGTTATCCTAGCACCATTTGTTGAAATGGGTGTCCTTTCCCCATTTTATGCTTTTGTTTGCTTTGTCGAGGATCAGTTGGCTGTAAGTATTTGACTTTACTTCTGGGTTCTCTATTCTGTTCCACTGGTCTGTGTGTCAGTACCACGCTGTTTTGGTGACTATGGCCTTATAGTATAGTTTGAAATCAGGTAGTGTGGTACATCCAGATTTGTTGTTTTTGCTTAGTCTTGCTTTGGCTATGTGGGCTCTTTTTGGTTGCATATGAATTTTAGAATTGTTTTTTCTAATTCTGTATAGAATGATGGTGGTATTAGGCCGGGCGCGGTGGCTCAAGCCTGTAATCCCAGCACTTTGGGAGGCCGAGACGGGCGGATCACGAGGTCAGGAGATCGAGACCATCCTGGCTAACACGGTGAAACCCCGTCTCTACTAAAAAATACAAAAAATTAGCCAGGCGCGGTGGTGGGCGCCTGTAGTCCCAGCTACTCGGGAGGCTGAGTCAGGAGAATGGCATAAACCTGGGAGGCGGAGCTTGCAGTGAGCTGAGATCCGGCCACTGCACTCCAGCCTGGGCGACAGAGCAAGACTCCGTCTCAAAAAAAAAAAAAAAGAAAGAAAAAAAAAGAATGATGGTGGTATTTTGATGGAGAGCGCATGGAATTTGTAGATTGCTTTTGACAGTATGGCCATTTTCACAATATTGATTCTACTCATCCATGAGCATGGGTTGTGTTTTCATTTTTTTGTGTCATCTGCAATTTCTTTCAGCAGGGTTTTGTAGTTTTCTCTGTAGAGGTCTTCTGAAAGACCTACCTTTTTGGTTAGGCATATTCCTAAGTATTTTATTTATTTTTGCAGCTATTGTAAAAGGAGTTGAGTTCTTGATTT